GAGTTTGAGGCCAGCCTGGTCTACAGAGTGAGTTCCAGGACAGCCAGGGCTACACAGAGAAACCTTGTCTCGAAAAACCAAAAACCAAAAACCAAAAAAAATTAAAAAAATAAAAAATAAAAAATAAAATTTGTAAGCGTATTAACTATCAAGACCAGGTAACGCTTATCATGAGAATGCAAATATGAATTATGTCTAAAACTGTTATGATTGTTTAATTTGTGTATTATGAGATAAACAGTCTCAACAAACACAAAGAAAGTGTTTACTAAAATCAGATATGTAATTTTACTTAAAAGCAAAAATCCTTGGAAATAAGGAGTAGAATGAAGATTCTTTTACCTGGTGTTGTCTATCAGAAACCCATAGCAGGGAACATGGAATTTGGGGTAACGTAAATCTGTGTTCCCAAGGCCATCCATGGTCACTTAAAATGGCTCCAGAATAAACTCATGTTTCCTTTAAGATAAGAACTGTGGGTTTTGTGTGTGTGTGTGTGTGAGTGTGTTGACAATTGTGGTGACACACATGGGACTTGAGAATCATCCACTTTTCACTGGAGGAACCAACTGAATGGAAGACCGGTGTCTGCACAGCCCCATTCAGTTCAGACCATCCGGTGTCATTTCCTCAAGTGGATTGTTGGTAAGTTCTTTCCTGGGCTTAGGAAGTCCCTTGGTTTGGTTGAGATCCATCTGTTTATTCTGAGCTGATTACCACGGATTCTACTTTAACAGATACCTTTTTGGTCTGTTTGCAGTGTATTTGGTTTATGAAATCTAGTTGGTTTGGTTTGATTTAGTTTGATTGCTTGCTTTGGATCTCTAAAAGCATTTTTTTTAATCAGTATTTTGTTTGTTTTGGAACTTTGAAGGCATTTTGATGTCTGTGTTGTTTATCTTGGTTTTCATTGTCTTTGAAATGTTTTGATTTATTATCCTTTGGCCTTGTCTTATGACAGTCTTCCTCAAACACCTAATTCTGCCCTTTTTTCCTATTGCTTCTCTTCTAAACTTGCTAAGCTTTTAGCTTAAGAGTTTCACGACACTTGATAATAAAGTCTCCAGAGAGAAGAGGCATCTATTTCCTTCTACCCAAAGGTGTGGAAATATCACAGGAAGCACCCCATGATATACCACAGACTTATAGGAAAACCCAACAAACATATTACATTCGTGAGTTTGAAGGGACTTTATTGACGTACCTGGGAAGATGCCTATGTCACCAGTGTCTTGATCTCCTCATGTTGGTGTACCCAGGAGGACATTGGAACAGGAAGCCCCTTTCTCCTGAGGTATTCACAGTGGCAATTCCTTGGCAGGGACTGGAGAAGCAATGGTCTTTTAGATCTTCACAGTCTTTGTCCAAATTATTGGCTATGTCCAAGCAACAATTGTCTTGTGGAAAACCCTTGTACACAAACCAGTCCTAAAAGTCTTTCATGCTTAAAGCCAAAAATCAGTTTGGTGGGCACTGGGGTCCCTACAGTTTAGGGAAAGTCCTCAGGCTGCTGACGATAATCAAATGAAGCTCCATCTGTGTCACCTCAACAGTACTTATGGGGATTTACGTTCAGTCCCATCTTTAAGCTTCTTCAGTGAGTTTCCCTCTGTTCCCTGACTGGTGGATCCCGCTAAATGTGAGTTCTGTGCCCCTTTGCTTCTGCTGTTCTAACAAGAAACCCACAACATGTCTGAGAGATACTGACAGCAGAAATAGGTAAATCCTAGACCCATCTGTACTCTGCTCTTGGGTCATAGGCACTAACCTGTAGCTTTTCTGAGGAGCAGCTTCATAACGCCTGATTTCCACCCACTCCACTTGTTTAAGATCCTCAGGAGACACTTGTGTCTGCCAGTCTCTCAGAGTGGTAAAGGAATGATTGGGGTGTTTCTCCAGGACTGCATTCTGGGGAAAGGAAAGAGCTGCAGCCAAAGCAATAACTTGTCTCTGTGAAGGAGATTTCAAACCATTCTAGCAGCTGGTTAGACCACCTCGCTGGTGAGACTAAAATCCAGATACTGATGAGTCATTAGTGGGTATAACCGTTCCTTAACAAGGACTGCTGGAATGTGTATATCCTGGGACCTCTATTGAAACTGTTTCTTACTTCAGGACCCTAAGGGTGGACTTGAGAAAGGTTTGATGGGTCTTTGTGACCCCTTCTTAATGTGACCACATAGAATAAATCTCCTTTTTTATGCTACTTTTAATTTTGCTCTTTTAATTGGCATGTAGTAGAAAAGTGGCCAGATCTGCTTGGCACAAGTTGTGATCTCCAAGTTACCTGCTAGAAATCAGTCTAGGACAAAATTAAAAAAAAAAAAATACTCCTCCTCCTCAGCTAGAGTTTATCTTAAGCCTATAAGACAAACTTCCCCTTTTACTCTCCTTTGTTGCTAAGCCTTCCTCACATTAAAAAAAAAAAACAAACGTAATATAAACTTTCTGCTTTTTTAAATGAGTGCATCTGATTTCATGTAATTGTGTCATGTGTCTGTGATAATTGTTTTAGTATATTTTTGGTTATTTTTATATATTGTTTGCATCAAAGTTTTTTTTCTTTTACACACTGTGACCACTTCAGTCCTCTTCTTTAATTTTTGGTATATGCTAAGATTATTTTTGGTATACCCAACTAAAATGCACGTGCAGATTCAAATTTCAGTACTATGGTTATGTCTTAGGAGCTGATCAATACATGCGATTTATACATTTGAGAACTCTAAACATCTTAAAATTGATTAAAATAGTATCTTTTGGAACCTTACATGCTTCATAAACCTTTGTATACATAGATTTTGATAAGGAGTTCCTTCCAAAGCAGATTTTTGTTTATGTAATGGCTACAGAAATTCATATCGTTTTTATTTCTTTTTTTTAGCTTTTTATCGGTGCCTTGTGAGGTTTACATCATGCACCCCAGTCCTGCTCATCTCTCTGTCCCCTCGTATACACCCTTTGCCATTGCAATCTACCCCCAAAATAAAACACCCTCAAATAAACAAATGACAAACAAAAATCAAGCATAAAAACCATCTAACTGTGAAAGCCGTAGTGTGTCACAGTATGTCCTACAGTCTATCCCTCTGTCCACAAATCTTTACTTGCAAATGTTCATTGCAGTGAGTCTTCAGTCAGTCCCGAGATCTCTGGCCTCTGTGACACCATCAGTATTGTCTCTTCATGGGACTCCTCCAGGTCACCCCATTGCTGCCCTGTGTCGTGGAGATCCTGCAGCCCTACCTAGACCAGCAGGACTAACCCCTTCATTCATTCCAACTATTTGCAGATGATACAGATTTTGGGGGTGGATCAACTCTGAGCCCTAGATCTGGACCTGGGTGACAGCTGAGTTAGTCAGTGTGCAGGTTTTCCTTTATCTGCACCACCAGGGCAAGCTTTCCAGTGTTGCTCCAACTGGGACACCCAATGCCACCACCTGTAGAAGGCAGCGTCAGCTCTCCTGTTCTCATGCCCTTGGAGCCAGCTTGCCTGCACCCATGTCTCCAGAGTTAGCTCCACTGTGCTGCCCAATCAAGGTGCAGGGTCCATACTCCCAAGTGCTGCAGCCTGTGAGGGACTGGGCCAGCTCTCCTGCTCTCACACCCTCAGGGCTGGCTCACCTGTGCTTTTGCCATTAGGGCCAGCTCCACTGCATTGACCAGACAAGGTACAGGGCCTACTTTCCATAGTGCTACAATCAGTGAAGGGCAGGACCAGCTCTTCAGCTTTCAAGGCCGTAGAGCCAGCTCTCCAGGCTACTGCAGGTGGTGAGGAGGGGAAGGGGAGTATTACCCCACACACACCCGCACCCAAACCACCTTACCAGACAAGTGATGGGGCCAGCTCTCTGGTGCTCTCACCCTCGGGGCCTTCTCGCTCACTTATGACCCTTCCACCAGGGCCAGCTTTACTGTGGTGCCCAGACAAGGTACAGGGCACATAGTCTCCCAAATGCTGCAGCCAACAATGGACAGAACCATTTTACTGGTTCTCATGACCTAGGGCCAGTTCTCCTGACTGCCTCAGGTGGTGGCGGTTGGGAAGATAACATCCTCCTCACACCCATACCACCTCACAGCAGAGAAGTGGCAGGACCAGCTCTCCCATGCTTTTCTCTTGGGCCTGGCTCATCCGCGCCTCCACCACTAAGGTCAGTTTTGATGTGCTGTCCAGGCAAGGTGCAGGGCCCACTCTCCCAAGTGCTAGACCTGGTGAGAGGCAAGGTTAGCTCGCCTGAGCTGCTGACAGGAGGTGGGGGCGTCACCTCTGTGCCTGTACCACCCCACAGCAGTAACTGGCTGGGTTAACTCTCCTATGTTCAGGCCACCTGGCTGGCTCACCCATTCCCTTGCCACAAGGGTCAGCTCCACTGTGCTGCCTGGGCCAGGCACAGGACTGGCTCTCCTGAGTGCTGCCAGCAGTGAGAGATGGGGCCAGCTCCCCAGAGTGCCACATTCAGGCTGATCCAGTGAGAGATGGGGTGAACTAGGCATCCCCCTGGACATCCAAATGGTTCCCAGGGGCTGCCCCAATCAGGGAGTCCCCACATTCTCTAGTGGTAATATAGGCTACAGACGTCAACACTGACCCCTGCCACTGACCCAGACACAGCCCTCAGCTGGGGCTGGGACTTCACCATGGCCCCAGGTGGCAGGGTGAGCCACTCACAAGGGTGACCTTCCTACCCTCCAGTCTCCAGTTCCATCTTTCATCGTAAAGTTGACGGTTTTCCGCTTCTCTTTCTCTCCCATCCGACTACCACATACTTGCACATTGTGGTGGCTCCTGCTGCAGGCTGGGTACAAAGTTGATAGGCCCCTGGGTGACATTCTCCATCTGTTCTGTATGGTTTGGCAGCAAATGGGTGCCTACGGCCCCCCTGTGTGCTGTATGCTGGAGGGCAGGTCTGTGAGTGGCAAGGCGGTCTGCAGGTCTCTGTCTTCCTCCTCCTACACTGTGCTGCCTGTATTTGATTTGATTTGATTGATTTGATTTTATGAGTTCTATGCATAAGACAGCTTTGGCCACCAAGCCAGGCATCAAGCTAGGATGAACAAAGGACTGCCATCTGCTCTGCCCCTGACTGACATAAGGACACCATCAAGGTGTCTCTTTTCCCATTGCCGGGGTAAAAAAAAAATCTTAACATGCAACTTAAATGTAAGGTTTCAATTATTGTTGGACTATATATAAATTAGTAGAGATATATTTACTGAAGATCTCTGTGCTTTATCCTTTTTATAATGAAAATTAGAAAAAATTCTAGTACAATTATGATAAAATATTGGTTTATTAAAATATATCTAGTGTAATATATAGATATACTGTCTTCATTTGGTTATGTTTTATTTTTACATAATGTATGTATTGTCAAACTGGCTTATAAGTAAGTGCTTAGGTAAACTAACTTAGTTCAACTTCATTTTTGGCTCATAGTAAACTAAAATTAAAAAAACATAATAATGAGAAAAGACAACCATATATTTAACCAATGTGACATGTAGGTAAAGCAAATACAGATGGGTGGTCCTCAGTCTTTACTCAAGACAACAAAGAAGAGTTTTTAAATTAAAATTTTTGTTTTCTTATTAAAGAAAGCTGTTGCTTCTTAAATAGTCAATCATTGCCATATATATATACAGACATATATCCATATCTGTTTGGAGAGGAATACCTACTTAGAATATTCCTATTAAATCATATAGTAATTGTAAAACTTGTACTAAAGGACAAATATTTAAATCCATTATTAAATTTTTTTCTAGTAAATAAGCCAATAAATCATAGTGTTTGTTATAAAAGACTTTTAAATATGACAGTTTTAGTGATGTTACAAATGAAAATATCATGTTCTTTCATTTGATTAAACCTTTTTGTTGTGATTGTTTCTTCACCCTAAACCCCTCTGTCTTAAAAGAAATGAGTGTTTGAAAGATTTGAGGCTTTTCACTGTATTTATATTTTGATATAACTTGGGTAAAACAAAAAATCGAGCTATTAAATTAAATTAATTAAATTAAATTAAATTTTAACTCTGTTTACTTTATCTAGAGATACCCAAAGAGTCTGGTTAATTTCTGTTCAGATTATATAAAAGACATCAATGTCTAGTAATATTCACGATGTTTTATACCTTAAGTACTGATATTTCTTGATGATTAGTATCTAAAATGTTCTATAATATAATTAGCCTGGCTTAAAATTAATTACTTAATATTTGTATTTAAGTAATAAAGAGACAACACTACAGTGACTTCTTCAAAAGTCTCATTTCTAGCTTTCAAAATATAAGTAAGATTGTTTATAGATTACAAGTAACTATAAGTATAGAAGGAAGTATATAGTCAATCTCATTGCAAATATATAAATTTTGGTTATTTTAGATGTTTCATTCATCTGTAGACTTCACTCCATTGTGCCAAACTGTGTTCTTGATTACTTAAATTTAGGTATAGTAATCTGTCGCATATAACTGTTATGTCAGATACAGAGGATATAAAAATAGTTCAAATCTAAATTCTAATGAGCCAAATAACTCAGATCTAAATCCTAATGAGCCAAGTCTTTCTTTCTTAATGGCATTTCCCAGGATGGTCTCTCCTGGAGGCTGCTGTCCTGCCCACTACTCAGCCTCACCAGCCTCACATCCTAAGAATGAGCTTCCTAGCTATGAGAGACCTCATAATATTTGAGAAGTAAAATGTTGCCCCTGTGTGCACAAATTGCATTGTCCAACAAGGGGAACTATGAACAAAATCTCCTAAAAAGGAGCTGTGTCTGTGGAGACTGGCTGAGTAGAACGGCAGTTCTGTGGAGAGACTGGGATGTCGTAGATCCAAAGACTTGTTACCTTAGTGTGGGTTCATTTTAGCCCTCTAGAACAGCCATGTCTTGCCCACCCCAGGGTTAGAACTAAATTTGTGATTAATAGATTAAAACCTTTTATAATCTCTTAATTGTGATGACTGCTAACTTCCACAAAACTAAAAGCTAAGAATGTCATCCAACAGCATCTTGGCCCACAGAAAATGTTTTTTCATCTTGCTATGATACCTGTCTGTCTGATGTACTCACTAATGTATTTCAAACTTGTCTTGATTTATGACTTTCTTTGTTCTAAAAAAACTATAAAACCCTTACGAAAACCACAGCAGGCGTCATATTTGATGAGAAAGGTTTAGAGGTAATCCTTTTGAAGTTAGGAATGAGACAGAAATCCCAAATAATTCTTATTTTTCCAAGATTGCACTGGGTAGTTCCACCATTGTTTAAAAAAAAAAAGCCAGTAAAACAACAAGAAAGCATAAGGTAGGGGATGACGAATATGTGTAGGCAACATTGGCTAACAGTATCGAGGAGATGCTACATAAAACTGACTAGAGCCATCAACAGAGCCCAGCAAGCCAAATATGGGAGAAGTGGAGGTGGACACATGTCTTTGATGTAGAAACTTCATATACATTAAAAACGATTTCCTCACCATTTGGCCAGATTGTCTCTGTCCTCTGATCATGCTTATAAAGTATTGGCACATCTTGCTCACCAAATACCCTTAGATATAACGTATAGTTCGCATCTTATTCTGTGTGAGTCAGTGCGCATGTGCAGAGGTCAGAGACCAACTTCTAGTTCTCGCCTTCCACGTGACTTCTGGGGGAGCTGAAACTCTGATAGCTTGCACAGTTATCTCATTGACCACTTATTGCAGTTGCTAAATGGCTGTTAATGACTGGATTTTTCCGTATTTATCACAGAGAGACTTAGCTTGCTGACTTCTGTTATTAGTTCTGATAGATTTTATGCACTTGAGCAAATGATTTGAAAGTTCATACCGGAGAGGAGAAGAATAGTCAAGAGAGTGTCTAAGCAGAATAGAGTGGAACCTTACTTACTTACTAAAAAAATACTTACTAAAAAATTAAGCAGAATAGAGTGGAATACTTACCTTACTTACTTACTAAAAAATACCCTAAATTTCAGATGTATATCCGTTAAATGTGGAAGCTTGATATGGAAAAAAAACCAAAAACAAAGAAGTCTGAGAGGTCAGTAGCAGAAATAAATAAATAAATAAATAAATAAATAAATAAATAAATAAATTGTGTGGAGAAAAGGAATCCAAACCTCATATAATAAGCAGGTACATTTTCCATATCAGTGAAAGACCTAAATGTGAAAAGAAAAACCATAGCATTCTAAAAATACATAAAAATAAAAATAAAAATAAATGAGACTTTTATTATACCATGGCAGGAAAGAATTTTTTTAAATCGGATTTTAAAAACTCAAGGGAATTATTGGCCAGTGTATGTTAAAGTTTAAAGCTTCTGTATACCATCGTGAGAGAAAGGTAAAGCTGCTGGCTGAGAGCAATGCATGTTAAAACAAAATACCATTTTTGTCCCATTCAGATGGACAAAAATTTTTAAATTTGGGCTTTTGATGAGGAAGCTTAACCCCAGGAACTCACTAGTGCTGGGAGTGAAAATTGGTGCAGTCTCCTTGGAGACCAGTTGGCAGCACTTCTGCCAGGCCTTGGCAGGCGTGCTCTAGATGTAGAATCCGGCAGATTGCTGTGTCCACAGCAGTGTAATGAATTTAAATGCCCATCAATGGGAACGATGCAGATGTGCCCATAACTAGGTAAACCTTGAAAGTGTGATGTTGAATAAAATGTTTCTGTAGGGTTTATGTGATGCCTTTTATAAAAAGTTTAAAAGCATTCATCTATAAAAACCAGAGATCAAACACATCAGCATCTAAAGTCAATTAGATTCGAGGGGAGAGAAACAGGAGAAAATTTGTACAAAGAGAACATCACCTCCCTTTGTCTTGGAGGGCAGAATATTAAGAACTGCTCCTGGGTAGCCATATTGCTTGCCAGGTAAAGTGCTTGTCTGACAACCTAGTAAATTCCCAAGAACTCAAGTAACAGTGGAACAGAGGACAAACTACACAGAGTTGTCCCCTGACCTTCATATGTAGGCTTTGACACATGTACATACCCACACTTAACATATTATATATACACAATAACAATACATTTAAAATAATTTTAAAAGAAATTGTTTCTGGGTATTGGCCATATAGATGTTATATTTTCTTCTATTTTATTTATATGCTTGAAATGCTTTATTGGTTTAAAATTTGTTGTAGTGTGTGTGTGTGTGTGTGTGTGTGTGTGTGTGTGTGTGTGTACATATGTGCATGCCTGTGGGAGAATCCACATGTGCCCATGGAGGTCAGGAGAAGGTACCTGGCCCATTGGAACTGGAGTTACAGGCATTTATGAGCGGCTCATGAGGGAGTGGGGAACTGAACTCTGGCCCCCATGAAAGAGCAGTAAGTACCCTTAACCATGGAACCATCTCTCCAGCCCCAGTTTTTAAAAAAGCAGTTCTTCTGAGGGAGAGAAAAACCAATCAATCTTCGTTTGAAAGTGGGCAGTAATTCAAAAGAACATTTAAGCTAATTGGTTTGTCACTCATGCATGGAAGCTTAGTGTGTATTGAAGTAATGTGTATTTAGTTTGGGGTGAAGCACAGGATGATGGAGCAGACTGCAGAACCCAACTCTGTTACTGTCTGCATGGTAGATTTAGAGAACTTCTCTCTCTTTCTCTCTCTCTCTCTCTCTCTCTCTCTCTCTCTCTCTCTCTCTCTCT